ACTGGAGGCCCCCCGGGCATCAGGACCCAGCAGCCCCGCGGGCCTCCGACCGGTGGCGCGGTCCCCTCTGTAGGCGCGCACCGGGGCGGGGAGGATGCAGCCAGGGGATCGAGAATCCTGGGGTGCGGGGGAAGCGGGAGAAGGTGGGTGATGATGGACCCGGGTGCCTGAGCCAGATGCTACCCGGGCATTGAGGACGCAGTGGACCAGCGACCCCTCCCTATTAAGCAGGTTGCCTCGGACCAGTCCGCGGCGACGCCGCCCGAGGTTTAGACCGAGCGTGGCTTCTGCGCAGCCCGGTCCCCTTTGTGCTCGTGTGCGGGAGGGGGCGACAGGAGCAGGCCACGAGCTGGAGACGTGAAAGACACAGTGCTGCGCCCGCGCCCCGGCGTGGGGCTCCGGACACAGAAGCGAGCCGAGATGCACGGGTCCCGGAACGCGGCCTGCTGTCCCCCAGCCCGGCGCCCGGACCCGGGCTGCAGCGCGACCCTGTCCCCGAGCGCCGGCGACCGGGCGCTCGGCCCTGCGTCCGCTCCACGATCAACGGCGTGGCGGTCACGAGCGCGGCCCTTCCCCTCAGTCAGGAAATCCGCGTCCTGCCGCGCCGCGGGTGTCCTCGTCCCGTACCTGGGCGACAACCGACCCGAGGCGCAGAGGCGGAGGCGGGGACCGGGGCGCTGCCCTGCAGGAAGGGGCCTGGTGCTGCCCCGCCCTCGGCCTGCGGCGCCTTCCCCGGGGGTCGCGACCTCTGTGCCCGTGTGCGGGGCCTGGTAGAAACCAGTGGATGCCAAGTGAGTCCCCACCTCTCAGAGGGACCGGTTTCCATGCACGTGTGGGCCCGGCGGGGACCGGACACGCGTGCGCGACGGGCGCCCACGGGGGCCTCACGCAGCTCTTTACTGCCCACCCCGCTGTGCGTTCACCGGGTAGAAATGAGCACAGAGAGCCCTGGTGGCCCCTCTGAGGTCACAGAGCAGGGGTAGGTGGTGGGACCTCCAGGCTGGGGGAGGTGGCCGGAGGAAAATGGCAAATAGGCATCCGGGTCCGAGAGATGGAGAGAAGGGGTCGGGGGCGAGGCTGGGCCGCAGTGAGGGCCGGAGAGGGTGGCCCCCCACCGGCCCAAGGGCCTGGGTCTCTCCTGGACCGGATCTCACGGGGCCGATGAGACCCCACCGGCCCCGGGGGGCGCAGAGGTGGGTCTGCGCATTCACTGTCCCCCAGGCCCTCGCGTGCATAGAGCTCCTCCCTCAGGATCAGCCCCAGGGACACCCCGAGACCCCGGACCACCGAGCTCCGGCTGTAGATTTCCTGCTTCCTCAGCTTTGCTCCCGCCGGCGATGGCTCTGAAGATTCCGCCCAGACGCCGCCACTTCCAGGCAGCTCTCCTGACTCCATCCCGTGGGCCGGACGGTGCTCCAGGCGCAGCCCCGTGCCACAGCTGGGCAAACGGAGTCCAGGAGCTGCCTCGGTCCCTTTAAACTAGCGGTTCGCGCAGACTCGAGGTTTCCATGACGACGACGTCAGAAGGGGGACCGCGGGAAGGGTCGGGTCGGGGCGCATGCGCAGTGCGCGCCAGACGCAGCGCGTCTTCCCGAGTCGCCTGCGCTGCTGTCGCGGGGTCCCTGAAACGCGGTAAGGGCGGGGTGCGGGGAGTCGCTGGGCCGGGTGGCGCAGTGAGGTGTTTG